GTAATAGTAATAGTAATAGTAATAGTAATAGTAATAGTAATAGTAATCAAAGTTTAATGTCTTTACGTGGGGCATGGTTACCCATATTGCCCGAGCCAGAGGCTCATGTATGAAACGCAAGACAACAACCCACCCATCCCACCCCAGGGGAGGACATCCATCACACAGTAATCTCGTGCGTGGGAAATTAACGTCTCCTACCCCTAACCCTGCAGGAGACGGGACCTCCATTTATTCGTCCCTATCCGAGAAGACTAGAATATCTAAACCATTTCTTGATGTTATAGAAAGGCAGCATATTCTTCTCAATTATCATTTAAGACCTTGAGTGTTGGTCCGGCCGGGGCTCGAACCCTCGACCTCCCGCACATCAGTCCAGCGCTCTATCAATTGAGCTAACCGGGAGGCTAGCTTAGCTCCATTTTCCACCTTTAAAAGCACGCACAACCCACAATTCCTCTATTCGCTCCGACGAAGGGCTTAGGCTCGAAACGTCAGCTTTTGTAATCGTTACGGTGGCCAATTTACCATTTCAACTTTGTTCATATATCCAAATTATTTCGTTACCCCCACCGACGCAGCCCCAAACAGTTTCTTTCGAAACTATCAGCCTTTACTCTAATATAGCTTGAAACTATCATATCAGCCAATATGAGTGTTTAGAAGAAATAAAACGAACAAAAAAACAAAGAGATAGTCTGAGTCATTATGCGATTTTCCACGTAAATGTTATAACCTTGGGTTTGTGACACAATTTATTTCGTATGGTCGGCAAAGCTGAGCGGAAGGTAAGGGATGCAGCCAAACGTTCGGTTGTGTGGTGATTTCTTCAGAAAAATTGTAGAAAGCGGAAATCGGTTGCCAAAAATAAATTCCTATTGAGAAAATCAAGCGAATACACTCATCTTTGGGTTTCAGAGAAGGGAACTAATATTGTTGAATGTCACCCACATTCAAATAATTTCGACTACAAAAATATGTGCAATAATGTGATACAGTGCGGCAGGATAAATTGAGAAACACAACAATTTACGTGCACTAAATACTCTTAAATGCTTCCCTTTCGGATATTGAGACAGGTTTGTTTTGGTTGTTTGGTAAGTCGTGAATTGATACGAGAAGCTAAGAGTGTGAAAAGGGTAAAAGTTATATGAAAAAAACCACGAAGAACTTACCATCTAAACGGGCCAAACCATTCTGAAGAATCAGCAAGAAAAAGACAAAGTGGACTAAAGAAATCATAGCAACTTGAGGTACTTCACATGTTCATCAGCAATAAGCTGTCTTTAAGATAGCCGTCTGTTTTAGTTGGCTATTGTGATGTCATACGTCATACAGCCGACTGAAAATTAGTCAATGACGAGTTTTGACAAATAAGAATAAAGTTTCCTTTCAAAAATAATTTTTATTTTACTACTGGTTTTTCAACAGAATTGTATCAGTGTGAGTTTTTCCGTCAGGAGAAAGTTGTTTTAACGCCCATTGTAGTTAAATAATCTGTGGCGTTTCTTTGGTTTCAAAGGATATTCCTCCCAGCTATCTCCTGTTGTCTGGCAACAGCTCACAAAACTTATGTATGCATATAGTTTATAAAAACAGCTGGATAAAATTACATCCCTTCATGAGGAACTGAAGTTATTGGCGTTTTTTCAACAAAATTTTCTCAGTGTTGGATTTCCCATCAGGGGGAAGTTATTTTAACGTCCGTTATAGTTAAAAAGTGTGTGGCGAATAAAGGCGACAGGATGAATGCATACAGTTATTTTTTTACAGCAGGTGGTTCCGAAGGCAATATAAATGAAAAGTCCGTTGTCAATGATCTA